GTGATTTTTGAAAAATTTAATCGTATTTACCAACAAAAAATTATCCCTAATAAGTTTGTTGCTGATTAAATCATATTATTCATTTTAATTGTCCTTAAAAAATGTCAATCTAATTTTATTGTTATGATTTTTTATTATGATGATGAAAGAATTTTTTTTAGATAACTTTTATGCCAATAATTAAAAGTAATTTTAAATTATAAATTTGCAATAAGTTGTAATATTTATAAATTACAAATGATATGATCTATTTTTCAAACTCAATATCATGTTATGATCCGTAAATTATAGAGATGTTCTTTGTTTTAAACATCAAATGAAAAAAAAAAAATCACCTAATACAAATGATGAGAGTCCACCTCCTTAGATTTTAAAATTTTTGGCAAAGTTGACATGCATCAACTTTGACCCACTTCACAGGTCAAATAATAAAGTAGGCATTGCCTAACAATATTAAAATCCTATTGACCTAATTTTATATAAAATAAAACTTATCCTACTATTCATAATTAGTTAATTTGATCCTCTTCAAATAAAGTCGAGGATTCAAAGAGTGCCGTTATCATCTCTTTCATCAAAAGAAAAAAAAAAGCGGAGGATTCAAATCTTATAAAAAAAATCGTAGAAAGAGTTAATTTTTTTTTTTGAAAGAATTTCAATTACAGATTATTGTAGAGATTTAATCTTATATGGGTCTAAAAAAAAATTTTAAAATTTCAGTCCAGTCTAAAGGAGAAAAGTTAAAAAAATTTTGACGATAAAAAAACTAAAATATCCTTCACTTGTTATATATAATTAATAGTTGTTAATTTTTTTATTACACTTGTTAATTTATCAATATTACTTATAAATTATATCTATTTATCAGATAATCAATAACATTAGTTGTTAATTTATTAATTTTATTTATTAATTTATTAACATCAGTTGTAAATTACAAGACCTGTCAGTAATTTACACTTGATATCAGTAAGTTACAAGACTTGTCAATAATTTACAATTGATGTTAATAAAATAATAAGCATAGCTAGCGATTTAATAACTAATGTTGCTACGTATGATTGAAAAATTAATTTTAAGTTTTATATAATTATTGACATATCAACTCATATAATTTGCACCTTACATTTGTAAATTAATAAGTAAAGTAAAAAAATTAACAATAAATGATTCTGCATAATAAGTGAAGGATATTTTAATATTTTTACCATCAATTTTTTTTTAACTTTTCTCCCTGAAATTGAACTGAAATTTTAAAAATTTTTTAAACTTGCCTAAAATTAAATCTGTATAGTAATCCTTAATTAAAATTTTTCCTATTTTTTTAATTTTAAATTATGCATGCGTATTCTCTTATTAAAAATAACAGATACTAAATATGAATATATATTATATTATAGTAAGAATTTGAATTTTAAATTTTGATTCACCCCATTGTGATTAAAAGAGATATTTCAACCTCAACTGCTCAAAATAACAATACTTGAATTTGGCCCAATAATATCAAGCATGGAATAATTATATTCTAAAAACATACCACAAACCTCTTATTAAATGAAGTAATTCATGGACTTATTAGAATAATAATATATAGGACAACACCAACAAAGATTAGTCCAGTTGATAAGGATTTGACTTATTATATATCTACAAGATGATAAAATCAAATTCAAATGCCAATATAACTATTTTGTTAGTAGGCAACTTGTAAATATTTATAAAAACACTTTTTAAATCTAGAAATATATCCTAACCTTGATAGATTTTTAGAATCTTACTTGCCTAAGCTTTTTTTTTTTCCATAAAAAAAATGTATGGGACGATGGATTATAACGTGTGTGGAAACAAGAAGCTCATTAAACACTTTTCAAGTCATCACCAAAAAAAAAATTGCTAATTCTTATGATTATAGCTAACGATGTTTGATCTAATTAATAAGAATATGACTCATACTTTATAGAAAAAGCATGAGCTAATGGATAGGGATCTCTAAATCATGAGACTCCTCTAGACTTAATAAGCCCTTAAAATTAAAACCTAATTCATCTAAATCTTTTCATTACAGAACAATCAAATAAAAGCAAGTAAACATATCATGAGTTTGGAGGATTCCATTTTGATATAAGAACAAAAGAAAACAGAAATTTGATAAGAAGCTCATGTGGGTTTCCTTATAGAGTATATCAACGTGACTTTTAATTTCATCGTGATGGATAGGACGAAAACTTCAATAATGTATATATTTTTGGTACAAATGTAAAATGAGAAGAAAAGATAAAAAACGTGTGTGTATTATGTTTTGGCTCAAGTATCTTAGGTCTCTAACTCATACTCACTCTGTTAAAAAATGTAAGGCATTTTTAATTAAATCTCACTCCCAATAAAGTAGTTACTTATTTTCAAACTAACTCTTTATTTTTATATTTATCCTTATTAAACACCATATAATAAATATAAAGTTATTATCAATAGGGGCACTTTGTAATGATTACACCTTAACAAACTAAAAATATCTTATATTTTTTAACATCCAACTTCTCAAAAAATGCCTTACATTTTTAAAGCATGAGCTAACAGAGGAAGTATTAATCTAGTCAATAGCCTGCATATTTAGTTAGAACTCAAATTCAAAACCTTTGATTAAGTTGGATCTATCTCCTAATTAGTTGATTCAAGCTCCCAATAATAGAATATTATATATATATATATATATATATTGGCACAAATGTAAAATGCTACCCTTCCTCTTTCGCGTGGGGCATGAGGCAGCAACAAACACCACTTGTTGTACCTTAAATTATAGCTTCCAATACTTTATTTGTTCCGTACTTTCACTTGCATGATCAACCATTACTTCCAAGATCAACACACTTTGATATTTTTAAATAATACTAATAATTGATGGGAGCTAGACATATCACACCCAATAATCATTATCTTCTTTTTCTATACGGTTATATTGATTGTATATTAAACGTGAATCACAAAGTTATATACAAAAAAGGAGATAATCTATATATTGTTAATGTCCCTAACAACTAACCTTTATCATTCACATCATGCTCTCCATAAATAATAAAATTTAATATCAACAGGTCCTTGGTTCAGTGAAAGGAGGTTTCAGATTCAAGTACATATAGATATATAAAACATTTTTGAAAGAGATACTTATAATTGAGTTCGATAATATTTAAATCTGACCCAGGTATTTAGTTATATTAAAAAAAAATACAATTTGATATATGAAAACCCACCATGTAATTATTGATATAAATAAAACGTTTTTAAAAGGCAAGTACATATAGATATATAAAACATTTTTAAAAGAGATACTTATAATTGAACTCGATAATATTTAAATCTGACCCAGTATTTAGTTATATTAAAAAAAATACAATTTGATATATGAAAACCCACCATGTAATTATTGATATAAATAAAACGAATGGACTCCATGTATTTATACTACTCATCACTACTACTATTATTACTATTACATAGCAAGAAAAAAATGTTTATATATATATACACATACATACTATAACCATACACTTATTTCTACTCTCTCTTTTCACGTGATATTGCCTAAAGAAACAAGTTGATGTGATTTTAAGATCGAATAAGTCCTCATGTACGTTGGATAAAAGATTTCATAAGTCGAGAGTGGAGATAATTTTTGAACAATCTTGCATAGAAAATTTGAATTTAAAACAGAAAATGAGTTTTAGATCGGCATGTATATAGCATGTTTTTTGGATAATATTTCAAAAGAACTCTTTTTTATTAAAAGTTATCAAATCTTGCTTCTCACAAAAGTTATGTTGACTTTTATTAAAAAAAAAAAAGAAACTTTCAGAAGCTCAAACATGATAGCCAAAATCTTTTTGAGGAACCTGATTCCTTGAAATTGGCTTCTCAAATTTTCATAACAACCACATCTTTTTTTCTATTACAAATTTTCCGGATTATGCCACAATTCTAAAAATTACTTAGTTGCACAAGGGTTCAAAGACAATATTTGGCTATAAGAAATTATTTTTAAGAAAACTGCGTGAAGAAAAAAAAGAAATCTAAAGAGTCTTCTACAGAAACTTTTGCAAAAAGAAAAAAAATTAAAATTATATCTCAAGTGAAAAAAAAATCCTAAGTGATCTATTCTTAAATTTGATTTATTTCTAAAATTAATAGTAATAAATTGATTTTAGGGATTTTAACAATAATTGACTTTTAAATTTTATCTGGGACCTAATCATAATTTTCCCCTAAGAAGGGGGAATTTTATTGTTCATGATAAAGTCATGGAAGTTGATGAAGAATAATATTGTAATTATAAAATTACAAATTTCCCCTCAATTCTAAGGGGTTATCATCTTTTCAAGGACACTAGATTTTTTTTTCTTAATCTTGCTTAGATGTTAGGTAAATATACAATAATATAAACTAAAAAACTAAATAATTCTTTTTTTATAATGCAAATGTGTTTGTTTAATAGAAGTAATCTTATTCAAAATATAATCAAAGATTAAATATGAGTATATATGAAAGTATCTCCTGTTAATGTATAGTGAACTGACAGTAATTTTTTAATTTTGAATAATCGATTGAAACTACAATGGTGATGATGATCATGCTGCCACGTCAGCACACTCAAGTTGCAGAACAGGGCGAGAAGCCACACCACCCCAATCTGCAAGGCGAAAGCGACCCTCAAAACGACCTGAACCAAACACTAGCAAGAGAGCCCGGGCCCACCAAAGGATAAAAACCGGACGGACGAATAGTAAAAACAGATACCCAAACATGGGGAATTTTTTTTTTTTTCCCTTCAAGATCTCAAATGTGTCCCCACCAGCCAATTACCTTTCAGCATTTGATCGTCCTCCTCCTCGCCACTACTTTAGATACACCTCTTCACACGTGTCACACGTGTGGACCCCACCCCGGCTTCCCTAATTGTAAGCCACTCACGTACTCACGCGGCGTCACGTGAGCTCGACCCACCACACCAGGGACACAGACCACACCACGGACACAGACCACACCACCTCCTTCCTCTTCGTCAATCCCCTCTCTGTCTCTCTGTTTCTCTGTCTCTTTCACAGCTTCTTCAAAATTTGTAGCCGTTTTACCGTGAAGCAAAGGAGCCGAAAGCTTTTATTCTCTCTGCATGTGTCTGTTTTACCCTACTTCGCGGCGTTTCTGACTTCCTCTGTTTCTTCGGCTCAATTTCATGGTGTTTTTGGGCAGCTTTTCTCTGTGATCTTCTGGTGATTTCGGCGATGAGTGGAATAAGTCACTGGCTTGTATTTGATTCTGGTTTTGGACTTGAGGATTTCTGTTCTGGTTATATAAGAAATGTTTGACTGGAACGACGAAGAGGTGAGTTGATTTCCAGTTTTTTTCTTCTTTTTCTGTTGAAGTCAACGACTTGGTTGTTTTAGGTCTGTAAATTCTTGTAGTTGTAATTGAGTTGATACTTTTTGATGGTTTTAATGTGAAATGATTATGCGAACTCGGAACTGTGTTGGAAACTTTTCTGGTTCGGCTGGGAATTATATGTTGGGAAAGTCCTTGACTGTGTTGTGATATAGGAGATGTGGATTATGTACGAAGAGGAAATTTCTCTGGTGTACCACGTGAAAAGACATGGAAAGGACACTCATAAAGCAGTGCTTCGGATATAGCGATCCAAATCCAATATTAAAAATATTGCATTGCTTCGAGTTGTAAAACGGAGGTTGGGCCCTGGGAATTTGATTTCAAATGGTTTATACGAACAAGTCTGGTGAGAATCTTGTGGAACTTGTACGCAAAGTGGGAATGATACAGAGGACATGAGATGGTAGAGAGCCGGCATGTATCGTTACGACTAGAGGTCTTGCAATAGTATGTCCTCTCAACTTTTACTGATGGAGGTGGAAGATTATTATAATTTCTTCGGATCTTTTTCCTTGAAAGATGAATAAACATCAAGACCAATTGATGATATTCATTCATTTCGGGAAGGTTAGCTGTTGGATGCACTCCGATTTAGCATCACCTGGAATTGTATATGCCAAGAAGGCATGGATGAGGGATGGAGTGAATTTTTTTTTTTTTTTTAATCCTGAGCAATATCGACAGTTCGACACCATATACTTTCTTCATAATAGTAGATTATCTGTTCTCTTTTTACTTTTTTGCTGATGGCAGATCATCCGTTCTTATTCATCTACTACTAGAGTAGGCAATTAAAAGATATATACATGCCAAAATCTTTTCTTATTAGCCTATGAATGTCTTATTCTTCTTTGGTTTCTTGAGTAAATCTTAGATTGAAAATTTGATGCAGAATCCGTTGAGTCTCTATGTAAGATTGAAAATTAAATGGAACATCCTTCTTTGGCTTTAAGGTGTGATCTTAGCACCAGAGGATTCATGTGTACTTGTATAATAATGTCCATACTTCCTCAGTGCTTTCTTTTTCTTGATGACTTTAACCTCGTCAATATTTTATTGTATCCCTAACAAAAAAATGTTTTCAGCTTGCCAACATAATATGGGGCGAGGCAGGTGCGAGTGACGATCATATTGTACCTTATCCAGAGGTAACTGCGGATCTTGGAAACAAGAAGGAATGGAATCTGGAAGCCACTAGCATTAAGCTCACTGAGCAGAAGAGGCCAGAGGTTAAAATTGATGTTCACTGCAGAAAGCCAGGAAGCACTTCGAAACTTGATAGTAGTGGAGGGCTATCTGCCTCAGGATATGACACTAACTCATGGCCTGACTTGTCTTTATCCACTGCAGCTGAGACTGGTCAGGGTTCCCTGGGTACCGAAGTATCTAAAACTTTTAGTGAAATTAGAACATTCAATTCATCAAGAGGTGGTAAAATTGCTAATTGCTGGAATTATGCGTGACTATATGCAACATAGACATATGTCTGCCTGTGTGTGTATCACATTTGTCTCCCATATTTATATGCAAATGACTAAAAATCTGTGAATATTGTTTTATTTTGTTATTACTAATTACTAATTGTGTACATGTTTGACAGAAGAGACTGCCCAACTTGGAAAGGATGTTGAAGTTTTCCAAAGTTCAAATGAAGGTAAAGAACAAGGTGACTATGGTGACTATGGTTGGGGAAACATGGGAAGCTTTGATGACTTCGACCGAATTTTCAGGTTATGTAAATTTGTTTTATTATTGTATATATGATGTATGCATTGTCTTCGTAGGACATTATAATCACAAATTTCTATGACAAGGGTGCCATTCTCTTTCCAAATAACTTAAGTCTGCTTACCTTTTAGAACCTTATCCACAAGGATAAAGGACAGAATTTCTCTCTCTCCCCTGCCTACTTTTTGAGAACTTTGGCAGTTACAAATACAACTGTTAGTACATCACTCCATCTGAGTTTGAGTGGCTCCATATAAAATGATATGTATGTTAAACTTAGAAAAAGCAATGTGTTCAGTTGTACACTGTTGTAACTGCAATAATATTTTACGTGAATAAACTCAAATAAGGAGGCCTTTGTGTGTAATTTTTTGCCAACAAATTGACTCATTCAAATTGGTAATAAGCTTTCATGTTCCTTTTTCTGTATTTAGAGCTATATTGTAGGTATTATTGCATCACCTTGTCATTCATAGATGGTGCACATGATGGATAACATTGAATAGACGTATTACAATTACTCTGAACAGTGAACTTCGTTGATATACAGCCTATCATATAGCCATGGTAAATTTACAATGGCATCTGTCTGACTCAATATTCTCACAAGTGATATTTTTCAGCAATGATGATCCTATTTTTGGCAATGCAAGTCTCGATAATGCTGGTGAGCTGTGGTCTTCTAAAGATGTGAGTAACAGTACAGCTCCTATATCATTGGATGCTCCCAGTACATCAGGTGCTTTAAGGAACAGATCTGAGCCTTTGGAAATTAAAGCAGATGACGTTCAATGTAATGACCAATTATTTGCCCTTAGCCATGGGAAGATTGGTGGTTCTGCATGCCATGGTACACAAAATGTGCATGCTATGACAACTGATGTGACATACTGTGGAGAGAGAAGCAAGCCTGCTGGAAAGGAGCATCAGGTATGTCAAGTCAATTTGAAGCATAGTCTCTATAATATGAAGTTCTTTGCCTGTATAAGGGAACTATGAGATTAATTATTTCATTTTTCCCCCACCTAAAAAAAAAAAATCAGGATATTGTAGGAAGAATCACCTCTTCAACCTCTGGTTTAACTGTCGAAAATGTTGCAACTGCCAATGAACTTGCTGACAAGGTAACCCCTAATTTATTTTGGAACTATACAATGCTACACTTTATTATCTGTTAATTTATGAAAGAATTCAATTAATGTTTTTGGGTATTTTCCTACCCTTTTGTTGTGTGAATACAATAGAGAAAGTTATTTTGGTGCTTAAGAGAAGCCCTCTTCTGCTAAAATGGAAGAATATGAACGCATTAAGTGATATAATCTTTTCAATTATCTTCTGAACATTTTACATAGTTTCTCTAGTATGAGGTTGAGTGGCTATATGACATGTGATGAACTAGGTTCATATGGAGTATAAATTCATGTTGTGCTTATTGTTGGCTAGAAAACTCTGAATCTGAATAAGTTTTGTTATTAAGAAAAAAAATTAAACATGGATCAGCAATTGTGACGTTTCACTGATTGTGATAGAGAAACAATCATTTGGAATGAGAAAGTATCAAGAAAATCTTTGTGGAGTTAGACCTTTATTTCGTTTGAGAGAAGATAGCACATTGAGTGCTTGCTTTAGGTGACTCATGTGCCTTTTGTTGGGAAAAAATGGTGAATCATGTACCACGTAGCAGATTTATCAGCTAAGCCTCTACTCTGTTCTATGTTTTAGAATCTATGCTAGAAGATGTGCTATAGCTTCAGAAGAATTGGTGACTTGGCGTTGATTATTGAAGATGGGTTAAAAGGGACTTCCAATAAGATGTTTTAAATCCTATCATTGTTCTAATGTTTCTAGCATCTTTTTTGGGAAGTGGGGGAAATGGTAGTGTATTCAGCAAATATCAAATGTCTACACACGCATGAACGTCCTGTAAGCTTTATACTTCAGAATCATAAGAAACATTTCAGATCCCAATGCACTCCAGATAGAGACAGAGACTTGATTAAGAAAACCATGAACAGAGTAGGGGTGAGGCTCTTCCTATGAGCCATTTAGAGTTGCGTGGCACCTTTAAAAAATCTAGCAGCCCTTTCCGACAAAATACCCCAAATCTCAATTCCTTGAATTCTTCACACTGCTTCTCGTAACTGGCTCTGTTGACTTTCTTGGTTTCTCCTATCTGGTCTATTTAGTTTTCACAACAAAATACCAATAACACAACTATTGGACCAGTGTCAAAGTTTTCAATACACAGCTCCTAGTGTGTCCGCTCCTTATTTCTCATCAGTTCACATGAAGAGTCATGATTGCGACTTCCTTAATGCCAAACCAAAGTAGAATACTGAAATTCAGTAATATGATACGAACTTGCCATAAAATAAATAGTCAAACAAAAGCGTTACTCAAGTTGCAGGATATTCTTATTCTCTTTTAATTTTTTATTTTTGTGGAAGCTTGGTTTTGGGTTCAGGTCTGATGATTCCAACCATCTGTAACCATGTTAAGTAAATAAGGAAGATTAAAGTTAGGGATAAACTGAAGGGATTAATTAAAACAATTCAAAATAATTTATCTAAAGGTTCAATTACAAAGTTTACGAAAAAGCTTCACAAACTTTTCTTTGTGTGCTACTTTTAGTGAATTACTGTTGCAAGTAACCTTTTGTTAAGCCATGCCTCCTTGGCAAGAGAACCATAAGCAGAATATTGGTTATGTTTAGCTTTAACCCAACTGTGGCAAAATAGCCTTTAATTCTATGAATTATAACATAGAAGCATTGAATGATTGATATAGGATGACTGAAAGTTTAGGCATTTATTTTTTCAAATTCTTTCTAAGCCACACAAGCTGAAATAAAACTAGTTAGACCAAAACAAGGAAAGGAAAGATGTGGTACAGGGATATTATGCCACACAAAGCAACTTAGGGGAATTTGAGAACAAATTAAGTGGCTTCAGAACAAGTTATAAGGGCCATTAATGGAACTAAGATAAAATAATCATGGTATTTGTGCCTGTTAGTAAATAATTTTGTGCAACACCTCTGGTCAACGGATCTATATTGACATATTTACCTTGTGTTACATTATATTTATTCAGGCTTTTGGGCAAAATAATCTGTTGAAAGTTCAGAAAAAATCACAGGGAAAACAAGAGGCTAAAGGATTGCAGAATTTTTATGGTAGTTGGTCTCCTTCAACAAATCTGTCAAACCAATTTGAGAATCAACTGACACCTTCTGTCATGCAATCTTCTCCCCCTTCAGTTCTTGGAAAACAGAAGCAGATTCAAGGAGCTGAGGCCTTTTATCAGAACATCATGAATCCATATCTAGTATCTCCTTTTTATGGAAACCCAGGAAATGCATATCCAGCTATCCCAATGCTATCTCAGGCTCAGTCAGATCTCAGGCATCAGCATCTACTTTCTGGATATGACGCGTCTAGTAATTTAGTGAATCCTGTGAGGAAATCTGGGGACTTAGTCAAACCTCTGACCATGACTCCTCAGGAAAAAATTGAAAAATTGAGAAGGCGGCAACAAATGCAGGCAATGCTTGCAATTCAGAAACAACAGCAGCAATTGGGCAATCAAGTTCCCAGCACTAATAAATTCATCAATCAAACATATCTGCTAGAAATGCAAAATCGTTCCTCTGATGGGACTGATCCTGAAGTTGAAGATCGAAGCAGTTTTCCTGCTCTGGAACCACCTATTGAACAAGATGACTCCGATACAGTCTCTGCAGCTATTGACGGGTGTTTTGTTGAAGAAACAACACTGTACAAGCTTCAGGACATTATATCAAAGGTATGGCTGAGTTGTTAGTGGCGAACACTTTATATTATGCTTATTTCCTTGTATACTAATCTGGACACGGCTACAATCCCGAGGCATGCTTTTCTCTACAGTTGGACATCAAAATAAGACTCTGCATCAGAGATAGCTTGTTCCGCTTGGCACAAAGTGCAACGGAAAGGAATCCTGCTAGTGATAGTAGCAGTACGAACAAAACTAGCAGAGAAGAACACAATGTTCTTCAAAGAGAAGAAATCAATTGCCAAAACAGGTCAGGAAACGTATTATAATACAATGCTCCTTTAATTTCCATGACTTGCTGAAGTTTAATTTACTATATTTGTTTATATTATTTATAAGTGAAGCTGAAATAGTGGAAGAAAATATTTTTGCTACTTGCTCCGCCATCACTTAATGATAAATATCCAATGCTCATGTTTGAGTTCAGTAAATTTTTATATCTCTGATGCCTAACATCAGAAACAGTGGTAGGGCTCTGAACTTATAAGGATAATAAGGAGACAAATAACTCTAAAAAGAGAGAAATAGAGCAAGAATCTTACACTGTTAGTCTCTTAATAGCCAAAATACTGAGAGAGTCTCCAAGTAAGATAAACTGGAACTTTTATTACTCAATGTGTCTAGCCTTTGAGGCTGTCTAGTCCATTTAAAATGCTGAACATAAATGAAAATAATTAATAAATAACAGAAATATTTCCAAATATCTCTGACAACTTAAAGGTCCACTTATTCACAACTAACAGTAAATAATTAAAATAAACAACATCCCTAAACATCTGCATAACAACATCAACTTCTGTTATCTTCCTCCTTTTTTGTCTCTGATAGGTGATTAGTGGTTGGTTTTGTTGACTTGGTCTCTTATCAAATAGACAGTAGTGGAGTCATGTTATGGTGAGGGTGGCAACTCTGTGTCCCTCTCAATTTCCCCTTTTTCTTTGAGATGGTACATATATGTATCCGTGCCAACTTGGTTTTACTTTTACTTCATTGAGCCCAGCTTACTTGAGTTACTAGTTATTCTGTGGTAATATTTTTCTTCACTTTACCAGTATAAAACTCAAAAAAAAAAAGTAATTTAGGCTTTTAAGAATTAGTCATGGTAAGGCATTTTCTGCATCTCAATATTGTACTTACTATTCATAGACAAGCACTGACACTATATTAGCAGTCACCTAAAACATAGTTCATTTGCTATAACAGATTTCTTCTGATTTGCGTTTAACAAATTAATCATACAATCATGTTTTCCAACTGAATCCCTACTCATAATTTCAATTCAAAGACGAAAGTAATGTCTTCACTAGATTTGCCAATTTTGCTTGAACAATGATCAATTGAACTTCTTTGGTTATGGTTTAACGTCCCTGTATGAATTATATTGGTATCACAGATATGTCAGGATGCCCCATTCTGAAACAGAGACAAACCCCATTGATCGAACTGTGGCTCATTTGCTCTTTCATAGGCCTCTGGAGTTAAATGGAAATTATGCTGACAAACTTGACTCACCTATCTCAGCTAGGACGCAAAATAGAAGCCACGCGGCTAACCTGTCTAATTTGACTGTGAAGTGCTTGCCTGATGAAAATATGAATAGTAATAAACAATTTTCTGACCAAGGGCTTAAGAATTCTTGTTCATTGATTGAGGCCCAGGCTCAACCAATGGATCAATTTAGAAACAGTCCTTGCATAGGCACTTCAGAGAATGCTTCTAACAATGGGCCAGCAGATGTTGGAGCTCAGGAGCTTGAAGCCTCTCAATGAAGATTGAAGAGAATATTATCTAGAAATCTGAGGGTAATTCTTTCCATTATCGCTTCCATGCTTATTGCTATGCTCTCCACGTAGATTCTGTATGGCTTTACTTGTAACGCAATGTTTTTGTTCCATTGTCAGCTGTCTGGATTTTAATCAAGCACAAGCGCTTAGGCCAATCTTCATAGATGACCAAGCACCGGTTGCGTGATTGTGTACTCTTAAGGCTTTATAATACTTCTATTAAAAAACATGACTGCTAGTGTGTATCTCTCACTGCCTAAACACACTCTAGGTGTTGAGTGCTGAGAAGTTGTTTCTATCAGAACTACGCCAGATGCGTGTATGGAGTACCAAAACCACCCAAATCTCATATTATTGTTGGCCTATTATGGGAGTTTTATTCATGCAACTTGGCAGCCAGTAGCCTCTCATCATTGACTTAATATCTGCTTGTCAATAGATTGAGTCCCTACATTGGCTTGTAGATTTTGGTTTCTACCAAAAATCACGTCCACGAGAGGGGTACCAAGAAGCCATACTCCATGATAACTTACATTCTTAGTTGACTGGTCTTCTACATATGATCAGATTTTAATTCTCAATGATTAATTTTCAGTGCAAATATATACTTTCCATTGGTTAAAGGCTACATAAAAGGCTTTTGAGGGGATTGAAGCTTGAATGGTGGATTGATTATGGGAAAAAAGGTCAGATAGAGAAAGAGAAAAGGCGATAAACATGTTTTCTCTTTATAAATGCAGGGGAACTCAACCATTAATAGGTTCTGTTGGTCAAAAAAGAAAGAAAGAAAGAAAGAAAGAAAGAAAGAAAAACTATTAATAAGTTCTTGTATTACATTCAAATGTTGTCTGCAGTTTTGTTACCTAATTTGAGCGAGATGTTTGTGAGTGGATTAACCACTGCCCGAGTTCTTGGTAGGCATGTGTGCTAAGGAATCGTGCCATGGTCAAGTTTCATCAGCAACTCAAACGCAGATATTAGTGTTGTCTTTTATCTTATTTGATTCTTTTTTCAGGGGCAATTTGGTGCTTTTGATATAAAGTCCAGCAGCTAGGGTCCAACTTGACGAGCCAACTCAAAAAAAAGAGAAAAAACTAAGCCAAACTAACTTTTAAATGGGTTTAGTTCAAATATCTAAATTTTTTTTCTTATTAATAACCTTTAATTTAGTTTTCATTTAATATTCACAAATCCTATCCTAGACTGTATCAGTTTACAGGTACCTAAATGAAGTTTCAATAATTGTTTGTTTGAATATTTTTAAAAATACTAAGAAAAAATGAATACAATTATGCAAGAGGTTACTTTATACATATACTTTTATTTTTACTTTTTTAATGTTTAGTCTTATATTAGCGATGGCAAAAGAAATGTACATCATAGTGTTATACGACTAGAAAAACCTTTTTGTTTTTAAATAAAAATTGAAATTGATTAAAAAACTCTGCTTATATTATATAGATAGTTCCAAACCTGAGTAAATGAAGAGGGTTATGTTAGACTTTTAATTATCAATGTAAAACTTTATTAAATTTTACATAAACATAGTTGGATTTTTTAAGCACGTTTCAAATAAACTTAGCATGAATTAAGATTAGCTAGAATAAATCTAGTCATCTTGAATTATGAACTCCAGATATTGAAGAGTGTGTTTAGGTTCTTACATGGTAATGTCTTGAATGCGTGAATAGATTTGAATCCTTTCAACTTACTCTTCTTGATTTTCTTTAAATTTAAATCCTTTAGGTTAACAAAATGGAAAGTAGATTATTTATTTGAAGATTAATTATAAAATTGGGACATTATATACAATCATATTCTCTTTCTCTCTCTAAGCGTATAAATATACGAATGGAGCTAGGGAATTTAATTTAGAAAGAGTACGCGGGACACAATGAGACCAACTCTGTATTCTTCTTCTTCCCACCCCGAGATGTACCCGTTGCACTTTTTAAAAGAAGTGCATTGAATGCACATCTTTTTTTTTTTATAATTATTTTTATAATTATTAGTAAACCATACACATCTTCTTTCAATTAAAATTAATAAAAAGGATGTGCATGTCTCTAATTTGGATGTGTGTCGAAACCATACGGTACACGTTTCCCTCTAGCTTGTCACTAGGAACATGAGATTATGAATTGTTATAAGTAAAATCATCTAAGCAAACTTTTACAATTAAAATATCCTAACTTTTTTTTTTTCAATAAGAATAACTTGACTCCTATACTATAGGTTTAAGAGTATTTAGAACTCTAAACTTATTTTTTTTTGCAATATTTTTCATAAACTTTTGAAAATAATATAATTTGACTCATATAATTAACAAAAGTTAACTTAATTGTTAGTTGACCAGAATATGATAGAAAATGATTTTAAAAATAAGAGAAAAATCAATTGAATTATAATAAATAATCAAAAATTACAAACAATGACAAAATGTTGGATGTTGGTCACCAAATAGATGATCAAGAAACTTTATACTCCTTTCAGCCTAAAATAAGGGTATTCATTGGACGACATGAAATTAGGATAACCCTATCATGTATTCTGTCTTGAAAATGAACGGGACTAAATTTTTATCTTGTATTTTGTCCCATCCCATTTACAATTGGGACAAGATGGAAAGGGACCGGGACATATCCTAATAAAATAAATAGAATATAAAAAAAGGTCTGGATTACAATATTTATAAAATTACATAATTTGTTAAATTCAAAACCAAAACAATGAAAGTACATATATTTAATTATTGAGTCTCAACTACAACAATTTAGAGTAAAAGAATATGTTACAACTTGAAGTTAAGCACACAACAACCATAAATGATGAGTAGAGCGTAGGATATTAAATTTTATGTCTAAAATAAAATAAATTTGTTGTGAACCGAGCATTCTTGTGCAACAGAAGATCTGATATAAGCATTTTATTGAATGAAACGTTGCACCTTCATTTGTCAGTAGATTCTGATATAAGCATTCATATATATGGCAAATAGATGCGTCAAGACAGATCTCCTAAATGAACAAGTTTATTTTTGAAACGCGACGCCATTGTGAGCAGAGCACTGAGCAAATTGTTATGTAACTAAAATAATAAAGTAAATAAAAAAAATATGTACTGTAACAGAATAAATAAAATATTAGACATTAATAAAAGAAAAAATATAATAATATATTAGGGACGAGATATCTTGATGGTGATTTTGAGTTCCGTTCTATCCCGAGTATATTTTTGTCCAATTTTGCAAAATCTTGTCTCATTTTATTTTTTTGGGTTGGGATAGACTTGTCTAGATATGATCATGATGAAATTGAGCCAACATTGGTATGGGGACAACCATAAACATTTTACCCCATTTAATATACGTATTTTTTTCTAATTAATTTTGGTTCAAGATATAAGCATTTAATAGTTGTAAGATTTTTCCCCCATTTTACCTATTATATTTATTAATATAGATTATTGTGTGAATTTACTAACTTCTTTTTAAACTAAAAATAAAAAGAGAAAACAATATATATATTTATAAGAATAAGAATTTTACTGGTACATGGATTATGGTTGGTAACCGCTTGTATTTTATATTTTGAACGAGAGGATATGTCATACAAAAAAAAAAAAAAATCTTATTCCCTTGTTCTCCTTACCAAATTCGTTTGTAATTGACTTTTATTATTCCTATCCATTCCACTTGTTTTGGAATCCGAATTTTGCTTGGTATACGTTGGGTCTGGAATGAGTAAGATGGAAAAATAAAAGAAAATGATTGAAGATGGGAATCAGTACTTTTCTCCTGAGCATAGTATTTGAATAAATTTTGAAGCATCTTATCTCAAATCTCAACCCAAATCTTGAGTAAGGAATTATGGACATTCCTCAACAAGGAAATCAACGTTAAATTTTGGAGACTTGAGCATAATTGAAACACATTTCATCTCTTCAACGTAACTGTTGTGTCTGATAACTGCAACTCAGATTTCCATTTCACAGTGACTGCAGATAACCAACCAACCAAGTGAGAGTCTAGCTTTGATTTGTTCATTCTTCGTCCACAACGTCTCTCTTCCATTTTTCTTAAGTTTTCTTCTTTACTCTTAACAGACACAGGAAACAATGGCTGAGTTGGTGGCTGGAGCGTTTCTGTCCTCTTCCCTTCAGGTGGCCTTCCAGAAATTGGCTTCTCGTGAAGTTCTTGACTTCTTCCATGGCAGGAAGCTCGAGGATGGCTTGCTGAAAAAGCTGCGCATCATCCTTCTGCCTGTGAATCAGGTTATTGAAGATGCAGAGGAAAGGCAGTATCGAAATCCTAACGTGAAGCAGTGGCTTGCCGAGCTCAAGGATGAAGTCTTCAAGGCTGAAGACTTGATCGATGAGATTACTACTGAGGCATTGCGACAGAAACTGGATGCTGAATCGCAGACTCTGACTGGCAAGGTACAAGGTTGCTTTACTACTATCGTTAATCAAAGGCTGTTCGAAAAGTGTTGATATTGGTATTTCAAAAGGAATAAATATTTTTATGAATAATATTAAACACTATTCAAGGCTATTAAAATTGAAAATTGATTTCTTTAAATGTCTTCAAATGCAACGTTTAGAGAACGCTAAAATGAATTAGTGTAATGAGCCATAATATTTATGAAACTAGTAATTAAATCATGCTTTCAGAGTGTCCAAAAGTTGTCTAATCTTATCTATAAATACCAAGGAGTGTTGTAAGTCCAATGCCATGCTCTTCAATTTTTGGACAATTCTTTCTTCCACCTCTATATTATGTTGTGCGGCCTGAATATTATTCTGTTAGTCTTTGTTGTTTTGTGTCCTTGTTTATTTTTTACAAAATGAGTTTGTTTAATTTTGGGGAGCTGCCGCTCGATCAACTGGTGTGGCGGAATAGCTCTTAAGGACAATGTTTTCGGGCATAACTCAAACTATAATTTTATTCGCTAGTGCCAACAATCTTAAAAGCTACCTTCCACTATGTTAAGTGGACAATGGTGAATAATGAACATGAACACCAATAATGCATGCCTATCTAGCCTGGTGCCAACAATGAAGAGATGTCTGTCATTCACACGGCTGGGCTGTCTGTCACAGGTACGCATCTAAGAATATCTATAATTTTACTCAATATATTAATGGATTTTGGGGTTGAAGTCATCGATTAAAGGACGTGTATATGATATAGTATGGACGGATTGCTATTTGTTGTGGTTTTGTTTCAGGTATTTGTTAAGAATTTGACAAATAACTGATTTGTAATGAAGAATTATCAAAACCAATAATGGTACTTTATTTTGAATTGACCAACCATTGTCATCATTTATTTATTGCAATAAAGATTTCCCACGGGTTTCACAAGGAAATATCCAAATTTAAAACTGTTATTTGGTCAATACCTTTAAATAGCCTTTATTGCAATATTGGGTGATATTAGGCTTTTTAGCCATTCATGTATTTATGTCTGCATAATTGTATTTGTGTACCTAATGAAGGTGCAAATTAGGCTCTAGGTCCGAGGATGGGGGTATGAGATTTGTTATGAGATGAAGTGTTCAGATAAGAGCACACTCTTGAAGTGGGTTAGTATGGTTATGATTAATGAATACCAAAGAGTGTCCAATATATCCCTCTATCTGAACTTACCTAAGACCTTAAAAATGCTTCCTTTTAGATGAAAAGTGTTAACCCGGGGAACACTGATGGCAGTTGAGATACTCGAATCGCTGTAACATTGAGACAATTTGAGACCTCTTTTTATAGGTACATCTAATATTGAATAAAACCCTATGATATTTTTGAAGCACAATAAACCATTGATTTGTATTAGTAGCAAAGTCATGTGGTGCCTTAAAAGAATTTGATAGTAGAATAATGTTGTGTCTGTTACTCGTGGAAGAATAATGATATGTGAATTGTAGATCATCATAAAAAGGCATTGAAGCTATTTCTCTATTACGCATTTGGTTTTATAATATATATTAAGCAGGAACTTTATGAATGAGAGGTGGAAGATAAGTGGAGATAACAACTGTCTTTTCAAGACATTAAAGCAGTAGTAAAAGAAGGTCTGGCCATCCTTCATTTCTTCTTATTGGTTTTATAAATAAATAAATGTCATTAAAGGTGTTGAATTTTTTTTTCTCAAAAACGCATATTGGTTTGTGATATTTTATGACTATGAGTGTCATAATTGAAATTAATTATAATTGAATTTATTTGCATAGAAAAAATGAGTGAAGAACTTTATATGGTGTTAAAGTTTTATTCAAAGTATGAAAAGGCTTTGCACACTTTATTTTATACTAGACTGTTTGTGCATGTGTTGATATGTTTGTAGTAAATTTAAAATTATGAGAAATTCTAATTTAATTAAAATGGGAGGAGATTATATGGTGAGATTCTAATTTAATTAGAATTATTGAAAATATTTTTCATGTCATTGAAATATTTGAAAGTGTGGGGGGTACCTAATGTGGACATGGAGTGTCTTGCAAAAAATGAGTTTGCTTTACTGAAAATGTGTTGTGCCAAAATATTAGTCTTATTTTATAAATGCAAAGATATTATTTTGTGTTGTGATTTAGAGACAAAAAGTAATTAAAAGGAGGCTATTATTTGCATGAAGGCAAAGTTTGTTAATTATGAAATTATGTGGCTTACAAATAAAACATTGTGATGGTGGCACAAATTTAATCATTTGTCTGGTAGATAAATGTATTTCGAAATAAGTGCATGCCCTATTTAATTATCTTGACACAAATATTTACTATTATGAATAATGGTTTGTTTATCTATTATGATCTCATGAGATAAATAAAATATTCAAAAGATGTGTATAGTGGATTCCTATTATATAAATACACATATATTAATTGAATTATAAATTCAAGTGAGAAAATCCACTAAAGATAATCCACCTTTAGTAGTGATGAAAATAAGTATGATGATGGGATCATAATAGAGTTAGAGTGCATTACCTAAAATTGGAGGCTAAGTTGTGGGAAATCTTCTTAGCAATTATTTTGGTATAAAACTGACACTTATCAATGAGCATTCCCATGATGCTAACATATTTTTTAAAAAATGAAAATGGAATGACTTTATTGCTCAATCTATTTGTGCACGAACAACTTTAGAGAGTTTACTACATTGATTAATGTTAATCTCATGATATAGTTATGTTGTATGGAGATTGAACATATCAAATAGTCTCATAATAGGATGAGTCAATTCATTTGAGGGATACCATAAATATTGGTATCATGAATAATGGATTTCTATTGTCTTAAAATAATACAATGATGTTAATTTAATTTTATATTTAGATGAGGAAAAATTTATTAGTAGCCAAATAAAATATTTTATGAGCTAGAGTTTATTACTTTGAAGTTGGCTAATAATGAGGATGAGTCGTTGAGAAACTTCTTAGTGAATATTCTATTATGAGTAAAACTAACACAAGCCATGTCAATAATTTGTGATTGCTAAATGGCAATAGTTATTGTAAAGAGAACAATGGCATATATAGATATCGTTTGAGATACAATTAAGTATGCTAAAAGAGAGAGTTATCTCAGTTAATTATGTAAGATCAGATGTAAATCTGACGGATCCGTTAACTAGCCCCTAAGGATGATTTTAATTATTAAAATGTCAAAGGGAATGGGACTTAAGTCTATTTGAAATTAACAGTGATGACAACCTAACCTTTAAAATTGGAGATCCTATGAAGAAGGTTCAATGGGTAAGAACAAGTTACTTATTAATTCTGCTAGCACCAAATTTTTGGTCCTTTCCTATGACTGGAGAAAGTGCTAGAATGCATTGATTGGAGGTTGAGCGAAAGCTCTTAATATTTTTCATAGTCCTTATGGATGGTGTATTCATTGCAGATATATTTGATAAAAACACCTATATAAATGTGGAGTCAGGCCATTCCTATAAGATCGTGACAAAATCTTTAGAGCATTTGTTAAATCCAAGCGTGCACATGGTCAATAACGTGCAAAACCATCGTTAATAGCAGAGACTGTGAGGGTATAATCCAGTTAATAAGACCTCTAGTACACACTCAAGATCTGTTGGTTCAATAATAAAGTTATATCAATTTTTTTGTGTGCTAAGTTTTTATTAATCTAGGTTTGGTTTAAGTTAAAAGACATCAGATTCAAAGTGATTATCTTTCATGTTAATAACTTAGATGATAAAGATCCTTTTAACACATATGGCTGATTGTGTGAGTGTGTCAAAAGGAGAAGTCTCATATTACCCACATGAGTGAAACTCTTAGTGTATAAAGGAATGAAAGTGGGCTAGAAATGGGCATGGAGGAGAAGTCGACTCGTGCACATATGATAGGCTGAAAGAGGGTAGTCACAGTTGAAAACAACTAATTCTCCCTGAGTTAAAGAGGCATTGATTTTTTTTTTTTCTTTCAGAATTTGGAAACTATTTTGCAAAGTTACAAAATTATTTGTATAAAATAGCTTTTCAAAGTTTTTTTCCTTTTGAAACATGTGGAGGATTGTTGGATATTTTAAAAAATATATATTGGTATTTCAAAAGGAATAAATGTTTTTATGAATAATATTAAACACTATTTAAGGCTATTAAAATTGAAAATTAATTTCTTTAATTGTCTTCAAATGCAACGTTTAGAAATCGCTAGAATGAATTAGTTAATCAGCCATAATATTCATGAAACTAGTAATTAAATCATGCTTTCAGACTATCTAAAGGTTGTCTAATCTTGTCTATAAATACCAAGGAGTGTTGTAAGTCCAGTGCCAGGCTCTTCAGTTTTCAAGCCAATTCTTTCCTCCACCTCTATACTATGTTGTGCTGTTTGAGTATTATTTTGCTAGTCTTTGTTGTTTTATGTCCTTGTTTATTTTTATAAGATAAGTTTATTTAATCCTAGGGAGCCACCACTCGATCAACTAGTGTGGGAGAATAGCTTTTAAGGACAATGTCTTCGAGAATGATGCAAACTATAGTTTTACTCGTTGGTGCCAACAAAAAGAACATAGAGTCAAGGATGAAGTAAGTGCTTGAGAATCTAAAGTATCTCATAAAACAAAATGAGATACTTGGGTTGAGGCAAGGCCCTCCTGCTGGCACTCCTCTTGAAGTGAGCAAGAAAGGCTTTTAAAGATTGCCAACAACGTCTTTAATAGATGAATCCAATATATATAGGAGAGATGCTAATAGAGAGAAGATAAACAATCATTTATTGTCACACAATAAGAGTGGGAATCCATTTGACCTGATAGCCATTGTGGGTTTGGGTGGGTTGGGAAAGACAACCTTTGCACAACTGGTCTATGATGACAAAAATATCAAGAACCATTTTTAGCGTACAGCTTGGGTGTGTATTTCTAAAAATTTTGATCACATTCAAGCAACCAAAACAATTCTCAAGGAACTTGATTGTCTACCAGTTAACCCTTTAGATACTTTTCATGATCTTCAATGTAAATTAAAAGAGAAATTAATGGGCAAGAAATTTTTTCTCATTCTTGATGATATCTAGAATGAGAATAATCATGTTTGGGAGGTCTTCCAAACTCCTTCTAAAGATGTTGCTGTAAGGAGTAAAATTATTGTAACAACACGTAGCAAAAAGGTAGCTGAAGTCATTCACTATACCCAAATATGTGATTTGAAGACATTACAACATGATGATTGTATGAAGTTATTTATAAAATATACATTTAATGACCAACATCAACATCATGTTGTAGATCAAGTTGGTGTAGAAATTATCAAGAAGTGTGGAGGATTGCCTCTAGCAATAAAATCATTAAGATGCTTGTTATGTGCCAAATCTCCTAGAGATTGGGAGAAGATTTTGAAGAGTGACATTTGGAGTTTGTCAGAAGATGATAGCAACATAATCCTATCTTCAAGATTGAGCTATCATTAGCCACCATCAAATCAAAAGCATTGTTTTTCTTAGTGTTCTATCTTTTCTAAAGATTATAGCATAGACAAGAATGTCCTTATCAAATTATGGATGGCAGAAGGCTTGTTGCATTCTAGTAATGAAACAAGAGAAAGCATAGAAGAAGTAGGGAATGAAAGTTTCAATTCTTTAGAGTTAAGATCATTTTTGGAACGATCAAAAGAAGGTGGTAATTAC